TCGCTATTAATGAGCTATCAACGTAAATCATACTTTAACGTTAATCCGCGAAGGGCTGGTCCTTTGAAAGGAACGGAACTCTTTTCGGTGACGTATTTTGGTTAAATATGGATATTGGAATTGTTTCAGCATATTTTATCAGAATTAAGATCCTGTATTTTTAAATTCTTGAGTTTGCGAATATCTTAATGTACAATAGCTTGAAGTACAAGATAGCTGGACCAGTAAGTACTGATATAGCTGGACCACTTAAGATCAGATGACTGAAGTCCTAAGTCTTTATTCTAATTCCAAGCCCTAGGTCAAATTCTCATATATTTGTAGAAGTACAAATTATTAAATTAATTAAGGTCTTCAAATCCAGAGATCCTCAAATTACATATTCCAAAGGTTCCAAATTCATAGGTCTCCACATTCTCATATCTTCAAATTTCCAGTACCTCAAATGCTCAAATCCCAAGATATCCAAATATCAGAATCCCCAAATCTCAAGATCTCCAAATCCCACAAACACCAAATTCCACAAACCCCTAATCCGACAAGTCCCAAATCCCACACATCCCAAATCCCACACATCCCAAATCCCACACATCCCAAATCCCACACATCCCAAATCCCACACATCCCAAATCCCACACATCCCAAATCCCACACATCCCAAATCCCACACATCCCAAATCCCACACATCCCAAATCCCACACATCCCAAATCCCACACATCCCAAATCCCACACATCCCAAATCCCACACATCCCAAATCCCACACATCCCAAATCCCACACATCCCAAATCCCACACATCCCAAATCCCACACATCCCAAATCCCACACATCCCAAATCCCACACATCCCAAATCCCACACATCCCAAATCCCACACATCCCAAATCCCACACATCCCAAATCCCACACATCCCAAATCCCACACATCCCAAATCCCACACATCCCAAATCCCACACATCCCAAATTCCACATATCCCAAATTCCACATATTCCAAATCTCACATATCCCAAATCCCACACATCCCAAATCCCACACATCCCAAAATCCCACACATCTCAAATTCCACATATCCCAAATTCCACATATCCCAAATTCCACAAGTCCCAAATTCCACATATTCCAAATCCCACACATCCCAAATCCCATACATCCCAAATTCCACATATCCCAAATCCCACACATCCCAAATCCCACACATCCCAAATCCCACACATCCCAAATCCCACACATCCCAAATCCCACACATCCCAAATCCCACACATCCCAAATCCCACACATCCCAAATCCCACACATCCCAAATCCCACACATCCCAAATCCCACACATCCCAATCAAATCCCACATATCCCAAATCCCACACACCCCAAATCCCACATACCCCAAATCCCACACACCCCAAATCCCTACACCCCCAATCCTCACATCTCAAATTCCCAAATCCTCACCTCCAATCTTCACACCTCCAATTCCCCGTACCCCAAACCCCCAAATTCCAAAATCCCAAAACTCCCATACCTTTAACTCCCCAATCCACTAACATTCTCCAGCAATCACTTCGTTAATTAACCTGTTTCCGGGCACGGCTTAGAAAGGTAATCGAACGTGTCTCGAGACAATCGAGAAAATCGAACGAGGTGCAAGCTTGCGTATAAACATCGACCCTGAGAATTCTTACGAAAGCAGTATTCATCGATAATAAGCAGCAACGATTGATTTGATTGATGGGTGTCGATACCGAGTAGAGGTGAAAGTCGAATTTTCCTATCCATTGAATTTCCTATCGTTTTTTAAACATCGTACTTCCTGTAAATCATCGTGCGTGTTCCGGGTTCCTAAACGAACGCCCGTTCTCCGATCGAATGATATATGAATTCCGATCGGGTTACGTTTCGCGATCCATACAGTGTATCCTTATGATTTATTCGGAGGCCAGTTTGCGAGAAATTAAGTGGATTAGGATTTGCCTCTCTACAGCACTCGATTTCTTCTCTGATTTATCGTCGACGCGCGAACATATTTCACGAAACCGGATAATATACTGGCCAACAATGAATGCGACTACTGCACCAGGTGTCTAGTGAACTTTTCTAGGGAAAAAGTTTACGCTGCGTCAAACTTGTATGTCTACAGGGTTAGAATATTTTTTCTCAAATTTTTAATAGAATTTATACATCCATCGTGTTGGTACTAACTTCCCATACACATCGTATGTATAATTATACAATCATTATTGTATATGGATGGATGTATATATAATTATACAATTATTATACATTGAGGAAGTTACATAATTTGAATTACTAGTAAATGATTGTTTTCTCCCAACATAAAAAAATGAAAAATTCTCCGACCGAGTAGTCGTGTATCTATTACACGTAACATCGACAAGAAACCAAGACAAAAGTTGTTTGAATAAGAAAAAGAAGCGGAGAGCAAACTACAGGCAAAACCTGCTATCTCTATCGAATAAAAATGAATTTCTTGTACAAATTAATGAATCACGCCATTAAACCGGCGAAGAAATAGGATGAATAATTGTGTAGATAAGAGGAAGAAGCGTGGTGTAGACATTGAGCATGTTCGCCGGAAGAATCAGGCGCGTTCAGAAGCGGTCGAAAAAGCGACAGAGGAGGAGGACGAGAAGCAAGGTCAATCGTGGTCCATCCGTGGCGTTAACTTTCAGAGGAGACTGTACTGAGTCGGGTTGCGCAGGTGTGACCGATGGCGGCGCTCTTTGATCCTGCAGGGACTTCTCGGCTACCTTGTCCACGACTCATCGGCCGCCTCTCGTTTTTCCTCACCGTTCGATTATTTCCTAATGGCTGACGTCGTCGCGAAAACGGCCGTCGCTAATTTCAACTGTGGACTATGTTTTCCGGGATGCTCGTTCTGCTCGTTGCGAGATCTAACGCTCGTAAAGATCGTGTCGATGCGATGGTATGTTGCTCGAAACAAGTAGACGATGACCTGTTCAAACGACTTTATCGCTCGACAGTGTACAGCTCTTCTCAAAACCTATTCTCGAACAAAATCTATTCTATGAGTTTCGAAAGGGGTGATGACATAGACGCTTCGCAAATTATCAATTATGACATTTGCGATCACTTGTCAATTTTGCGTTTGAAGTTTGGTGATCGTATTTTGTCAGTAGGACTATTATAAAACAGCTAGTTGTAGCAAATCATGACTGATTTCGAAACGAAGGCAGCCATTTTGTGACATGAAAGTAATAAGCACTTGTCATATCGAATATGTATGACATATAAATTTGAACACGTGCGACAATAAAAGTACAAAAACTTAGAAGAGTTATTTACATAGAAAATTTTGGAGGAGGCTGTACTCGGAATATGATTGCACGAACTACGCGATTCGGATAGTTTCGTTTGATCCGAAAGTTTCAGCATCCGGTGGGCAAGAAATGCCGCTGGAATTCTGTGGACTGAACACCGTGACGAATAGGTAATACGATTTTTATGGAGAGATCCCATACCACGAAAATGCATCTGATTTGTGGCTGGAGGATGAAAAATTCGTTTCTCGTCCATGAGATAAAATTATTTTAAAATCACAACTTTCGTTTAGAAAAAGGAACGTATCTTCGTATGTGGAATTAAGAGGAAAACCAGAGCCTGATTTCTATTTTCTGTGTAAATAATATCCGAGTTATCTAGCCGTCGAGAAATTTATTTTACAGAGTGAATTTTCACGCCTGGTCGGCTTCTATCGTTTTGGTCTCATTAATCATTCATTCGGTGGCACGTAGTTTTTGTTCTGACGGCCACTCCGTCATACGACCATTATCCACACCCGTTACTAAACAACGCTACAAAGTAGAAATCATTATGAACACCTGATTCGATCGGAAACGTGGCCACAAAAAGTCACGTATGACCGGCATAACCACCTTGAACAATGATTCGATTGGTTCTACCTTATTTTCCCATACACGCTTCTGTAATCTTGTTTCTTTTTCATATGGACAGCTAGCATGGGAAATATGAGATACACGACTGTCTCTAGCCGTCAAAATTTTATTTTACTCTTTATGAATAAATGTAGATCGAGGTCTAATCTGATGCATTATAGCTTCGATGTAAAACTTTTACATACCATTAGTTTTATTATTTAAGAGGAGATTAGATTACTTATGAAACAAGTTACGCGTAATGGCGATTGTGGCGATATAGCACGTGGTATGTGAGGTGATATAATGTGAGATTGCAATACCGGGCGATAGAACGCGTGAGATTATGTGGTAGAATAATGTGTGATACATATGATGAAATGTAGCGACATTGTATGTAGAGGTATCACATGTGGTAACGTGTGTGGGATCTGATGTGGGGTGATGCTCTGCGTGTTAATATCGACATGTAGTGATATAACTCATATAATGTTGCAAATACCATATGAATGTACCATAAGAGTCGATAGCACATATGCAAATCTGAGACAAAGCGACCATATGTAGATATACCACATGTAACTGTAGGGATCTAACGCAGTGATGCTCTGATGTTAATATCGACATGTAATGACATAACTCATAGTAATCTAATGTTGCAAATACCATATGAATGTACCATAAGAGTCGATAACACATATGCAAATCTGAGACAAAGCGCCCATATGTAGAAATACCACATGTAACACTACCACATGTACCCATCTGATGCATGGTGATATCAAGCAATAATATCAGCAATGTTGCAGTATCTTATCACATGGAAATACCACTTTCTTCTTGCAAACGAATCAAAGACCTCTTAACGTACCCCAGCTCCAAAGTAGATATACACATCCCGAATGTGCCGATTTAATCGACTTTTATACGATGTTTTTATCCCAGCATTTCGCGAAGCCACATATATAAAAAACTGCGGTCTGTTAATGTTTAAATCCCACGAGAAACTCCGCGAAACTCACTAAAGACCGTATCCCTAAACGATACCCCGAAACGATGCTAATCTCACGGATCGTAATCTTGATTGCAGAGCAAGCGAACCATCTGAACCTGTTCAACAACCGGCAACAACCGAAGAAGAAGCGCAAGAGCAGAACGGCCTTCACGAATCAGCAGATCTTCGAACTGGAGAAGCGATTCCTATACCAAAAGTACTTGAGCCCAACGGACAGGGACGAGATCGCTGCTCAACTGGGTTTGAGCAACGCTCAGGTGATCACCTGGTTCCAGAACCGAAGAGCGAAGTTGAAGAGGGACATGGAGGAGTTGAAGAAGGACGTGCAAACGGTTAATCCGTTGCTGGTCGCTCAACACCATAAAACCTTCCTGGAGAACGTACAGGACCTTGGCATCCTCAAGAAGCGACCTCTGCCCAATAGCATGGACGAGAAATCGTAGGGAACTGATTACCTTGAAGGTCATCGTCTGAAAACAGCGTTTGTTCTTTGGAATAAGAGGTTCTTCAAGGGTTAAACGATAGAGGTCGATCGGGGGATTGTGAAATGTTGCGAAGGTGTTCCTGAGTGGATTTTGAGGATTTTGGAGGTTTTGGGTACACTTGTGAGCACTTGTGAGCATTGGGGGTACTGTAAAAAATTTAGATCTACAAGCCATGAATTTTTAAGCTTCCTTTATTCCAAGTTTGTGGATTACTAATTTGTACATTTTGGAATTCCCAAATCACCAAATTCTCAAGCTTCCAAATTCCCAAATATCCAAACTCTTCAATTCCCAAATTCGTAAGTATTTCAATCCCTCAGTTTCCAAATTTCCAAATCCCCAAACTCTCGAATTCCCAAATTTCCAAATATCCAAACTCTCAAATTCCCAAATTCCCAAATATTTCAATCTCTCAATTTCCAAATTTCCAAATCCCCAAACTCTCAAGTTCCCAAATCCCCAAATATCCAAACACTTCAATTCCCAAATTCCCAAATATTTCAATCCCTCAGTTCCAAAATTTCCAAATCCCTAAACTCTCGAATTCCCAAATTCCCAAATAACCGATCTCTAAATTTCCAAATTTCTAAATCCCCAAATTTCCCCAGATTTCCCCCAATTTCCAAAACAGTGCTCATTACTGTACAGTGTACATCGATATTTCCCTGCGCCAGGGGCTCCAAAGGACAAGAAATCACAGTGTCAATTCTCTTGTCCGTTTACTTTCGCAACCTACTAAAGTTTTCAACCAGGAGCCAGCAGGGAAATATCGAGACCCTACCCTATAAACCAGAATTTTAGATCGACAGCTTTGAAAAATTCTGTTCCGATAAAGGCATAGTACAAAGCGTCTTTTGTCGACCAATTGTCGAGGTTTTGCATAGCTCAAGATTTTTAACGATTCTCGTCGAAAAGACGTGCAAAGACTGAGGGTCTGATCGAGAACGAAGAGACGCTGAAGGCGATTTTGTCGAAGGTATTTGTATATTAAAGACTGCCAAATATATTCACAGCTCTCGCAACGGATGGTATTAGGAACTTATCGTTAACCATCGAACGTTTTTCCAACGAGTAGAGTCTGCAGACGTTTAATGAACCGTGTATCATGTGAATGTGAGAGACAAATTACTGTGCGTATCTCGCGAGAAGGCACACGGAGATAGGAGCAAAAGAAACTTGTATGACCTATCAAAAGGGCTAATATGAGACTAGAGAGTCAAATGCGAGTGTCTTTGCTCCCGCGCGCCATCTCGCGAGGCACGTGTTCTGCGTAACCTAAAATTGTAACGGAAATTAAAAATCGTACATGTTTGGATTTTTGGCTACTTTTCGATTCCACTGCGATTGTACGCGGATTGTATCATATTGTATTTATTCGAATGGTGAATGAAGCCAAAAGAGGTCCGGAGAACGCATAGAGGATATATAAGTTATTACGTAAATATTAAACTTTATAAATTATAACGAGAGCCTTGTTATCACGAGAGCTCTCGTACGTGTACATAAGCTGTATATACGTTGTTCATCCCCCTCTAAACTCCCCCCACGATAATATTATGCATTAACGAAATAGAGTCGTCGGACATGATTAGAATAACGAAATCGAAGAGAATTATAAACGATAGATGGGACACTGCAATATACCTGGTCATCAGTTTAATTAGTGAGCTTTATGATCGCGTTAAGATGTAAATCCGTATCGCGTACAGCGCTTAATGGTTTACGAGGTGATAGACGTGAAGCGTGAAAGGAGAGGCAAGAGTGCGTGTGTGAGCGGACATAGTAGAGCGTTGTATAGTGAGTCGAAATAAATGGAGACATTTAAAATATACACCGGAATAATTGCCATCCCTGTTCCCATTCATTTCCGTTAAATCGATTCCGATATCTGTCGTGGAGAATTATTCGGAATGTTCGCTGTTCTAAGTAGCTTTTTTTTGTTAGAACTTGGAGCGATATATTCAGATGTGCAGCTACGCGTGACAGTTTAATGTTGCATAGCTCTTGATAGTATGACGATTTAATTTTTTGATGTACGCGTGCTGATGTGACGATAGGGAGTGACAGTACGTGTCGCGGTACAACGGGTATCAGTAGCAACGTATCACTTGTAATACATGAAAAGAGGATACGTGGTTGACACATAGAAATAGTAATGCATGGTGATCTAATACGTGGACGTACAACATGTGGCTGTATGACGCGTGGCTATACAACGAATGGCAAGAATGTGTGGCTATACAACGTGTAGCGAGAACGCGTTGCAGTAGTAACACAAGGTAATCCAACGCGTGAGAATACAACACAAGGTAACCTAACCCCAAGGTAATTCAACGCGTGGTAATTCAGTGCGTGGTAATCCCACACGTGGTGATCCAACGCGTGGTCATCCCACGCATGGTAATTCAATGTGTGGTAATCCCACGCGTGGTGATCCAATGCGTGGTAGTCCAACGCGTGGTAATTCAGTGCATGGTAATCCCACGCGTGGTAGTCCAACGCGTGGTAGTCCAACGCATGGTAGTCCAACGCGTGGTTATCCCACGCATGGTAATTCAGTGCGTGGTGATCCAACGCGTGGTAATCCCACGCATGGTAATGCCACGCGTGGTGGTCCAACGCGTGGTTATCCCATGCATGGTAATTCAGTGCGTAGTAATCCCACGCGTGGTAGTCCAACGCGTGGTTATCCCACGCATGGTAATTCAGTGCGTAGTAATCCCACGCGTGGTAGTCCAACGCGTGGTTATCCCACGCATGGTAATTCAGTGCGTAGTAATCCCACGCGTGGTAGTCCAACGCGTGGTTATCCCACGCATGGTAATTCAGTGCGTGGTGATCCCACGCGTGGTGATCTAACGCGTGGTAATTCAACGCGTGGTAATCTCACGCATAGTAATCCCACGCGTGGTATTCCAACGCGTGGTAGTCCAACGCGTGGTTATCCCACGCATGGTAATTCAGTGCGTAGTAATCCCACGCGTGGTAGTCCAACGCGTGGTTATCCCACGCATGGTGATTCAGTGCGTAGTAATCCCACGCGTGGTAGTCCAACGCGTGGTTATCCCACGCATGGTAATTCAGTGCGTAGTAATCCCACGCGTGGTAGTCCAACGCGTGGTTATCCCACGCATGGTAATTCAGTGCGTAGTAATCCCACGCGTGGTAGTCCAACGCGTGGTTATCCCACGCATGGTAATTCAGTGCGTGGTGATCCCACGCGTGGTGATCTAACGCGTGGTAATTCAACGCGTGGTAATCCCACGCATGGTAATCCCACGCGTGGTGTTCCAACGCGTGGTTATCCCACGCATGGTGATTCAGTGCGTAGTAATCCCACGCGTGGTAGTCCAACGCGTGGCAATCCAACACAAGGTAATTCAACGCGTGGCAATACAACACAAGGCGTGACAGTCCACCACATGGTTAAACAATACTCACCAATAACAACGCATGTCGACCTCATACGTGAAAGTACAACACACAATACACACAACTCACGTCAGAATAACAACACACGCCAAAGTCAACACATAACCCATTGACTCAACAAACATTCTAAGAAAGTCACTGACTAAGTCACCGGTGAAACCTTGAAATATTAATAAATACGTCATTCTCGACTTCCTGTAAATCAATCATCCACAAAGAAAGTATCAGATTCGTAGCTTGAAAGTAAAATCCTTGTTTCCAAGGATCTGATGCACCTAGAGAATTATGCATGTAAGAAAAATATTGAAAAAAGTATAAAAAGTTATGTTTGCAATGAAGAAATATTTAAAAGGTAAGTAGAGCGTAGAAATATTGATCGACATACGGAAGATGAAGAGGAAATTATTGTCCAGAAATAGTACTATACACACCTTGTATATAGACATTTCCCAGAAGCTTTTTGAAGCGGTTCGTAAGGTTTACGCGGAGCTGTAATTTATTAAGATGAAGTTATTTCGCTTTCCATTTGCGGGAAGCCTGGTACTCGTCATAAGTCGACATCAATTCGAGATGCACCTTTCAATACTGTCGGTGTAAGCGAGTGCTCTTTGATGTTCAAAATAGAGACTGACATTCGAAATCTGATTACACGTAAGTGCAACTCTCGAACCAAAGATCGACTTTCTTATGGATCGAAAGTTGAAGCTACATTAACAGGAAAGGAAATGGCAGTAGCTACTTTGTTCGTAATAAGAACGATTAAGTTTTTAACGCTCAGCGTGGGTTTAATGGTATTTGCAGCGCAGTGGTGCGCAACTGCGCACCAGGGCATGGCATGAAGATGCGAGTAGCGTGCATTTATGGTACTGATAAACGAAATTTCCACTCTTTCAAATTCCCACTCTACCAAATTCCCGCTGTTCCAAATTCCAAATCTCCCAAATTCCAAATCCCCCAAATTACCACTCTTCCAAATTCCCACTCTTCCAAATTCCCAATCTCCCAAATTCCAAATTCCCCAAATTACCACTCTTCCAAATTCCCAATCTCCCAAATTCCAAATTCCCCAAATTACCACTCTTCCAAATTCCCAATCTCCCAAATTCCAAATTCCCCAAATTACCACTCTTCCAAATTCCCAATCTCCCAAATTCCAAATTCCCCAAATTACCACTCTTCCAAATTCCCAATCTCCCAAATTCCAAATTCCCCAAATTACCACTCTTCCAAATTCCCAATCTCCCAAATTCCAAATTCCCCAAATTACCACTCTTCCAAATTCCCAATCTCCCAAATTCCAAATTCCCCAAATTACCACTCTTCCAAATTCCCAATCTCCCAAATTCCAAATTCCCCAAATTACCACTCTTCCAAATTCCCAATCTCCCAAATTCCAAATTCCCCAAATTACCACTCTTCCAAATTCCCAATCTCCCAAATTTCCACTCCCCCAAATTACCACTCTCCAAAAACCCCAATCTCCCAAATTTCCACTCTCCCAAATTCCAAATCCCCCAAATTCCCACTCTCCCAAATCCCAAATCCCAAATTCCAAAATTTAGCATCTCTAAATCCCAAATCCCCAAATTTCCAAATCCCCAATTCGCAAATCCATCATCTCAAATCCCCAAATCCCAAACCCCCAACTTCTCCCATTCCCAACTTCCCAAACCTCCCTTCCCAAAGCCAAAAAATATAAAACCCTCAAGGACCAATAACCCCCGACTTCTCGTACTTTGCATGAGGCACTTGATCTCCCCATTCCCGATCCACGTCATTCGCCGCGGGCTCGCAAATGGAAAAGCTAATCAGACATTGGCAACAGGCCTCTCTCC